TTTTTGCGCCCTCCCCCCCAGTTATTATTTTAACTGCTTTAACAGTTTAGCATTAAAATTATAAGATTATTTATGTTATTTTTTAAATACTTTTTTATAACTTTGGACGTAGTACACAAAAAATTAGATATATAATATAAAAGCACATTGATTTTAAATTAATTTAAAATATCATGGCGATTCGCGGGTTCTTCATAATCACTACCAAATTACTTCTAAATTCTTATTTTTAATCCAAACTTTTAAGGACATCCAAAAATTTCAGTATGTTTATTATTGCTTGAAATAATATTTTTGAACAATTTGCTTATATATTTTGGAGATTTTATGCGATTTATTGTATTAAACAAATCATGGTGCTTCATGTTGGATTATTTTATTTTGATTTCTCATTATTTAAAATATCCAAAATTGCAGCTTAAATATTGCTCAAAAATTAGTGAAAAATGCAAAGAAATTATGTTTCTTGAATTATATTGAAAAAAAAAACTATATTGAAAATTTCATTTCCGAATCTCGTTTTGACGTCCCCTAAGGCGTGCGCCCGCATTTTTGCATGCATCGCATTCAAGGTAGGACCGGCTCTGTATATATATATATATATATATATATATATATATATATATATATATATAGTTTATGTATATAATTAATTAATTATTAATTTTTAAGTAAATCAAAATATTGATCATGAATATACTTAATTTATAATTATTACCTAAAGTAAAAAAAAAAACAGTAAAAATCTAACAAAATGGTTTGAATTGAATCAAAGTAAGATTTATGAGATATAAGATATAAAAGATATTTATAAGATTAAAATATTTTGAGTTAACATGAGATACGATAAAATGCCAAAAACCATGAAAGGTGAACATAAAATAGTGTAAACTAATTCATTTTAATGTTAAATTTCACGTGAATAGAATCACAAGTACAGCTAGATGAGATAACATGTGATGTGATGTGATAAGATAAGATTGTTTTTCCAAAATAAAATTTGCCTTAAAAGTCCCGCCAAATCCATCTAGCCATTTTGGAGATTAGCCTGTTTGGGCTAACAGATTTTTTTAAAAAAATGTTAATTTGGTGTTTTTAGAAACACCAGCTCCTAAGAAAAGCACGGTATTAATAATTAAAACACATAATAGTCAATTAAGGTTTAGTCTATTGACACTTTACAATTTTCAGTATTTATCGAATAAACTTATAGTAATTAACTTCCCGAAGGAGAAGTTTGTTTTCATCAAAAAATCCGATTCGCTAATTTTATGTTTTCTCGACGTTTCAAGCCATTCTGAATCGAATGAGACAAATTTGGAAAAAGTATGTGTGTGTGTGTGCGTGTGCATCAACAGATTTTTTGCCGTAAATCGTGGTTCTCTCAAAAACGGTTGGATCGATTTCAAAAATTTAAAAGTTTTGTGCGACGATCGGCCGAGACGTTTCTTTATAAATAGCAGATTCTGAATCGATTATGAAAATTCAAAAACCGTTCGAAAGATATTGGTTGTGAATCGTGCTGATTAGTTTTTGGTAAAGATCGACCGGGCCGTTTTCTTGTAATAAAGTGTTAAAATTTTTTTTTTCGACGATTTTTATTATTATTTTTTTGACGGTAGATACCATAGTCTTCTGATCATACTAAAATATTACGGCCCTACGACAATTGGTTCAACTTTAAAAATGCATCAAAGTGTGCAAAAATTGGTATTGTTTTTTTTGGCATTTGTCAAAATTAGATCTTTCATCCACGTTTTCTCAAAAACGCCTGAACCCATTTCAGAAATTTAAAAGCCATTTGATGTATCTCGATGAGGACTATCGTTTGTTAGTACTGTGCGACGATCTGCCAAGCCGTTTCTTTGTAATTTGGAAAAAAGTGTTAAACTTTTCGTCCACATTTAAGCTCATACTACCAAATCGATTTTAAGAAATCAAAAACTGTTCGAATGATATTAGTTGGTAATGATACTGATTAGTTTTAGATGAAAATCTCTTGTAATTAATTGTTGAAAAAAACAATTAAACCGATTTTTATGAAACTTTTTTGGCGATTTTTTTTGACAAGTAGTTTAATTTTGAAAATTCATCGAAGTTTGAGAAAAAGAGTAGTTGTTTTGAAGTTTGTTAAAATTAAAATTAGACGATTTTCTTGGTATAATGATGGAGTACCTTATGAACGTATTTTATGAACAACTTATGTGTAGGTTTACAAGAGTCCATTTTTTTAAATTTAATTTTTTTGATAATTTAGAAATTTTCTGATAAAATTTCTAAATAAAATTTGATAAATTTTTTTTTTCAAAATTTTGAATTCTTTTTAGAAGTTTGAAATTTTTGAAAATATTCGTTTTTTTTTAAATTATCGATATATTCTCAAATTTTTGTAAGAAATCTTTTTATTTAATTTTTCAAAATTTAGTTTTTTTTTGCAAATACTGAAACATTTCAATTTTTTTTTTAAATTTGAATTGTTTCGAAAACTTTGATTTCTTTTTTGAAAATTTTCAAAATTATTACATTTTCTGTAAATGCATTTTTTGCACACCGTCTAACTCAAGCAAAATGTTTTTTTATTTGATCTGATTGGATAATCCTCTCTCTCAAAAACTGCATAACCGTTTTTACACCCTTTGCGCTCCATCCCTTCGAAACGGCAAAATTGCCTCTTGCATAAACGCTTTGCGATCGAGTACCAACCGAATGATTTTTCAATTTTATAAATCGGTTATTCCATACTGTCGAAAATGTCGATGACATTTGTTTAAACCATATAAATAAACTTCAAAATTGAATCTTGGTACGGAACCGTGGTATTGAATGTGATTTAAATGTACATTTTGTATATTTTTACTCTTTTTTCCATTTTTATAAAAATAGTATTTTTAAAAAATAAACTTATAAAATTATAAAAAAAAGATTTTCATTCGAAGTTCAAAAATATTCATGTTTCAAAACAGCAATAAAAAAATCAACAAAGAATATACACTCCACAAATTGCTCAATGCAATAAACCGCGATTGACGAATATATAAATCGCAGTATATTGTACGTATATTGATGAAAATATTGTACATTTACCATGCGCATAAAACAATGATCACTTGCTATTTAAATTGATTTTTTTTAAAGCAATATATATTCTAAAATTAGTTGTTTAAAATATTTTGAGGTTATGACTGTATTTAAACAGAACTGTAGTAGTTGTGTATTTAATTTTATTTTTTTTTTTTTTGAATACTTTGAAATCGCTGGTCCTGTCTTTCCCAAAATATATTTCTTCACACCGCCAATATAAGCAAAATGTTTTTTAAATTATCCTAATCGGATAATTTGTTTCTTCAACTAGTAAGTGCATGGCATCGTGCCTTAAGAAAAATTGCTAGTTCTTAATCCGTATCAAAAATTATTTTTTTTAAAAAAGCTTCAAACTTTTTTCAGAACTTTGAAAAAATAAATTTATGAAAATTAAAATTTTTTAAAAAAATTGTTTTTTTTGAAAAAATTGATTTTTTATACGTTGAAATATTTTAAAAATTTTGAACCTTTTTTTAAAGCGATACGTTAACTGTTAACTATTGAAGAGCGTGTGCGCCGCGTCGCAATCTAAATGATAAATATTGGTACATAATCAATAGAAATGTAAACATAAGTTTATTTTAAGTAATTTTTTTACTTTTATTCATATTTAATCAGTTCTTCATTTTGACAATACAAGAAAAATGTTTCTTAAAATATTGAAATCGGGCGCTCCGTTATCTTTAAAACTTAATTGCCAATTTTAGATCTTTTGCCTCGTATCTTGCAAACAACTGAATCTGCCTCATCCAATAAACTAATCAGTATTCTTGAAATAGTGTACAAAAAATTGCATCCGCATATACACACACGATTTTTCATGCATACATTTTCGATTTTTTCTGCGAAATATATATTGCTCAAAATAGATTCAAAATCTTTATTATTAACTAGCCGGCCCGACAGACTTCGTCCTGTCAAAAAAAATTGTAATGTGGCGGTGTTTTGTGCCTACCTTTTTTCTATTCTTTGCAAAAAATTATCCTGGACAGAACCGTCACCCTGGTATTAATTCGGTGTGAATTAAAAATAATTAAATAAAACAATATAAGCATTTAAAAGTAAGTAATTTTAATAATGTAAATCATAATTCAAAAATCAGTTCAATTTTCATTGTAGTGCTTTGTGATTAACGATGTTTTTTGTTTGATTACCTGGCGCATAGACAAACAAATCTGATCTGTTTTCCAATACGGGAACAAACAACATACAATTTTCCATGTGAGAAACATGGGTTTTCTAAATTAATACCACAAACACTTAATACTTAATGATACCATAAACGCACGCGAGAACATCTTCTGCTTTATACTATCCTTTGAATATAGTTGGTCGATATTTCGCTACATTATAATTGCCGATCCAACCTTTAATTGAAGATTGTGAGGTGACAATCCTAGCAAATCCGGCGAGTTTAAAAACTCCGATTGTCTTGGTTAGTTGCCGAATCAACTGTTTCGCCTGTAATTTGTTCTTGAATTTTGAAATTTAATTAATTTACATCAATGTTTTTGGCTGCCAATATAGCTCGTTAATTAATAGAAAGCTATTTCTATGTTTATATAAATATATTCAAAATTATATTATCAAAAACTACACAAAATGTCATGACATAGATCATTGTTTTTTTTTTTACAAATTGCGTTGCCTACACGACTAAAGAAGAAAAGGGCTGTTTTTAGGATTTACCCGGCAATAATTCGTTTTTTTCTCGCCGTAACAACCATCCTTGGACTTCAACGAACATTTTAAAAAAAGAATAGGCCAAATTGGTTCAGGCGTTGTTGAGTTATGCGCTTACCAACACATTTTGCGATCCATTTTTATATATAAGATTATTCATTAAAGTTGTACTCGTATTTGCAACAGAAAGTTTTGCAGTAATACAATTTTCTTAACTCACTTGCCATTTTACTAACCTTTAAAGCTGAGAAAATCTCATTGAGATGAAAATGATATACGTTCCGTACATAAGTACGAAGTAGTCGATCTCTCCTGGTTTCATTAAAACCAAACTCAAGATCTTGGGCACTCAGATCGTTGTAAGATTCCGTCGATGTTAGCCCTAGCAGCAATTGCTTTGATGGGAAGTCGGCGAGTTCTAAGCCGCTGGCGTCAGCCAGAGATGAACCCAGCGGCAGTGTCAGCCGACGAGCGGGGCGGCGAGGCAGTACAGTGCCGTCGATGAACGGCGCGAATCCGGATAGAAATCTGGAATTGGAAATAATATGCACTAAATGATAATTTATTGATAACTGTTAATAAGTCAATGTAGACGTGATTTATGTTTGCTTATTTATTTAACGCCTGTCTGCGGTGCATGTAGCAGAGTGATGTAGTAAATTAACGTAATGTGGCATAGTATACACTTTACCCGAGTTCTCATCTCAGGAAATAGAGCGGCTTTCGAAACTAAATTTTTTTTATCTTATTAGCTAAAATGGCGGCAAAAACAATAACTCTTTCCGCGACTGAATTTTCGATGACGAAATTTATTTAAAAGCCTTCATATTACCAGGACAAACTATTTTCATTATTACTTGATATAATTACCGTCTACATGCATGTACCACATTTTCACTTTCGTACAATACTGTGAACAATTGATCTTTTTTTTTCTTTTGTAATTTGTTTTTTTACTATATATTATTATTATCCGCTATATTGGCCAGGTCGCAGAAACACTTGTTGCAGGCCGCGGGTTTGACATCCTTAGTATAAAATAATATAGATTATGCATAGGAATATGAGTAATATCGCAAATATGACATATATTTGCGCATATATGGTGTAGAGGAGCTAGGAATTTTTTGAAACTGTGGTAAGAAGTAATAGGCGTCTTTCAATAAGATCTTAGACGATATTAAAATATTTTTTGACCCGATTGGATACGTACATCTTCCTGCATAATATTGTGATAGTTATGGTCCCGCAAGCCGACGCAGTAAACATAATTGTGCAGGTGCGTCATTTTTTGACAAGTGATAACAAATCATAAAATTTCAGTTTGCGTTATTCTTATCTACTAATTTTAAATTTTATTTATTTTACATATTTTGTTTTAAATTTATTAATCTTTGATAATGTGTAACAAATGTTGTGATTGCAGAGTTGTTTAAATAGTTATCTTGATAAGTGTGAATCACACCTGAGGTTAGTTGTAACATTGTCTTCGTTATTTATCATACTTGTAAGAAGTAATGTATGCTTATATTAAAAGTCTGGTTGTAACATGCATAAATGGTATAGTTTGGTATATAGTAAAGATTGTACAAATTCAAGTAAAGAAGATGCGGTGGAAAGTATATTTTGTAAAAGTACTATTTACTATTTTATTTTTTCTTTTCACTCCAATTCAATTGTTTTTAGTTTTTAATTTTATTTTTAGTTTTCCACTGAATGAAGGCTAGGATTATAGCCGAAACGTATGGATTTAAAATAAATTTTTGAAAGAAATTCATGTTTTTTATTGATGTTATGCCCGATTATTAGACTTTGTTAATACATATGTCAACATCAAATTCAGAAACATACTATATATATATATATATATATATATATATACTAGCAAACCCGACGAACATATGGTTTCGTGAGAAAGATGAAGAAATTTTTTGTTTGTTTTATATTTGAAAAGGAAAAATTTGATTTTATTATACAGCAGTAATGAATTTATTTCGATTACAAAAATGAAGTGTTTTTTAGTTGAACTTCTCTAAGTAAATGAAAGTGAATCCGCAAATTATCCGTTTCATTGAAGTGCTCTTTGGTAAACCACATTTTTTTGTTTTTTGGTCTGACGTTAACACAAAGCGGATGATTTTCCAACTCGTGAACAGGCAACGTATAACTGCCCATGTGAAAAACAATGATTTTCTAAATAATCTATTTGAAATTTATCCCGCAAACACTAAGCGATTGGCCTTGCGATTTGTTATTGCGAACGCAAGGCGAACTGGAAATTGCAATCGTTTGAAGTCAAACGGAAGACCAGTCGGAATCATTGGTATATCATCAAATCGCCAGAAATTTTTGATTCAATTGTGAAATTCAGTGCGTGTACATCATTATTCTTTGCGGCAAGAATTGCTCGTTGACTTAACCAAGCATAATTCTGATAATTCTCGCTAATGTTATTACTCGAATTTTCAATTACGGTGCGTGAAGTTCCAGCAGCATGCATTAGGGCGCAATTCCATGCACAACTAATTTTTTTAGCTATGAACCTTGCTGAGCCCGAGACCTTTCCAACAAAGGCAAAATTGTCGAAATCGGTTTGTGCGTTCTGGAGTTATACCGTCGGGAAGGAAAACCCGACTTATTTTTATATATACGTAGATAATCTATTTGAAATTATTTAAAACAATTGTTGATTATTTTTATTACTCGAATTTTTAATTACGGTGCATGAAGTTCCAGCAATTTGCATTAGGGCACGATGCTATGCACCACTAATTTTCTTAGCTATATGTTGTTATTTTGCGGAGCCCGACACCTTTCCAACGAATGCAAAATTGTCGAAATCGGTTCGTGCGTTCTGGAGTTATTTTGTCAGGAAGGAAAACCCGACTTATTTATATATATATATATATATATATATATATATATATATATATATATATATATAGAATCATGTATATGTAATTTTAATGGATTTCATCACAAATTATAACTTGAACGTTTGTAATCATTATAAATACCTTTACATTTGCAAAACAAATTAATATTAAATATACTGAAGTTGCACATTTGTAACAAATATAATTCTACTTAACGATTCAAAAGTTTTTTTAGTTTATTATCTTCTGACAGTGCACTTCTAGCTCTTATGGAAAGATGCCCTCTTAAAAGTTGCGATTATGATTTGATTTTCTATATATTTTTTCAAATAAATATATATATATATATATATATATATATGCCATTTTATATAAGTATACATTGCTTCTTACAAGCATGATAAATAAAGAAATCGTCGGTACCTTTTATTTTATGTTTGTAACAAAAACGAGAAAAAATAATTTTCGCTTGTTAAAAATTTAAATGCGATACCAATATTCGTATCGTCGCTGATATGGACTGTCAAAATGTTATGACAGAAAACAAAAAATATATAAAACACAACGCAGAGAACGAGGGTTATGATGTAATCCAAAAAATACTTTAAGCCGAATATAAAATAACACGAATAGCATCAGCATGGAAAACAATATCTATTGGTAAATTATTTTTGACAACGGTATTAAATTGATAAAGGAACAAAGAAAATTGAATACTAATTGCAATAGCCTTGTAAAACATGACGCTAAATTGAAATTTTATTTTTTGACATAAGGTTTTGAACTTATGTGTCTAAAAGTAATACTGTCATGGACAGATTTTGAATATCTCTGAAGAGTGTCTTCATTTTTACATTAAAAGCTTAGTTTTCAAACTGTAAATATTTACTAATAAATTAGAGATAAATTGTTGAAAAATGATTGTATAATTAATTAGTGCCAGTAAAATGTGCCATTAAATAATGAGTTATCTTATATATAAAATTTCCATATCACAAGTTATTAATTTAATCATTTCTTGTCCCTCATTCAGTAATTAACTATTTTTGACATAATTTCAGTTTAGATTTTTGTGCTTAAAAAAAGCAGAAATATCACCATAAAAACAATTTATTTTGTCAAAGGTTGTCCAACCCTAACGCTTTTTTGGTGCCATTTTTTTCATTTTATTTTTTTTAATTTGAAATTGAATAGAATAATTTTACTTCACAAAACTATTTATTTTTATCAAGTGTCATCAACCCTTAACTTTTTTTAAAATTCTGGAATCATTTTTCTTTTAATTTTAATTTTTATAATGCGGACTTCAAAAATCATTACAACTCGAACTTTTCACCCTTTATCTACTGATCGAATAATTTTTGACGACGCTTTCAGTCTGTGAGTGTCTTTTTACTGAATTTTAGTTCATATTTTCATGACTTTATGATATAACATGATTTTTTTATAAAAAAATATTGCGATACTCGTATACCGTCAATTTTTTTTTTTTTATTTTACATACTACATATATTTTACTTTTTTTTACATATTTTTACTGTTTATTACATTTTTCTTTACGAATATTTCTTCCAAAGGCAGGTCCGAGGGTTGAGTTGAAAATGCACTCAAATCATGGTTGCACGATGTCAGAGATCTTACATTTATCCTGTTGTATAGGGATACAACTCGACTTCCTTTGCATTTCAAAGCGATACAATCTTAGTACCTCTTTACTTCCAAGTGGCATGCTGCCACTACAGCTATGCCCACGAAAGGCCATTTTCACTTGAAATCATATTTGAAATCTATGATTTCAAGTAAAAATTTGGTATCAAGCTGCTTTGATACCAAACCGAGCGAGGTTGGATTCGAACCCGGGACTAGAATTTGCTAGCCCACGTTCTTACCACGGGACCACGGCCGGCCCTTTTTTCGGCGGTATTTATAGTAATTTTCGGCAATTGAGTCATAAGTGCTAGTTTATACTTGTCACACTTGAACTCGTTACTCGGAACTGCATGTTTATTATGTTTATTTATCTATGCTCGGAACTATCTATAAACTTTAAATCTCCGAATCGCCTAACAGATGTCGCTCTTTAAATCTATTATATAAACCAGTATTTTCACAATACAAACGAGGGTTTTTATCGTGTCTTAATAAATAAAATCAGACTAATAGTGAAGATGTTCATTTCTTCTTATGTGAGAATGTAACTGTTTTATAAAGTGACATCGATGCCAAAATATTTTATGCCATAAATACTTAAAATCAACAAAAAAGCTTTACCACTAAGTAATCATTATTTTCGTTCTAACTTACATTTTAATCATAATAACTGATATATATTTTTCTTATGAAAAACAGATTGTGAAACAGATGTTGGAAAATAAAAACCTCAAAAATTATGAAATATTATTCTACGTAAAAAGTATCGCTTTTCAAAAAACAGTTTTGGACGACCATTATTGTTTTAAATAAAAATACTCATCAATCGTAGTATCGTAGTATAAAGATCGAGGTTAGACGATGATATATTGGTTCAAAAATGTTTTTTAAAATCATATTATAATTTTCGTAATAAAATTATCACGTATTGTTATTAATGTTATATTATGATATTAAGTTCGACATCATTTTGTTAGTAATATTAAATAATAAATATCAAAA